ATCTCTATTTCATCTTGAAACTAAGAGCAATGACATCCCTGGTGCTTTGGATAAACATGAGTTTGCCAGTGAAAATGGGCTTATTTCCATGTAAAGCTGATCTCACATTAGAAAAAAAACACAGGAATATTTAGTGGCTGTATTTGCATGAAATGAAGTGTGTCTAAATATAGCTATGGTGATTCACAATGATGTAAACCTTTGCTGTTTCATTTTGTGCATACCAAAAAATTTACCTTAGCACAAAATCCTGGGAAAGCAGTGAAAATGCACTGTTCCCATGAATGAGTGTCCACGAAAATACAGCAGTATGCACATCGCATGTGTTGTTAGTTTCATTTAGGAAAGGTTTGTGCTGGTTCTCAGCATTTTGCAGTGTATGTACACACATGCGTGCTCTGTGTTTGCACAGAAATTATGGAGCAGTTAGAGGTTTGACAGTATTCTGGCACTACAAGCAATGATTTCAGGAGCTTGGGTTGGTGGGGGACGGGCAAGTGCCCCAGATACCATAATTGTACAAATTCGCTGTGCAGTGTGAGTGGCTGCCAAACTGCAGGGGCCCGGGGTGCTGTTCCTGGGAGCAGCAATGTAGCAGGACTAGTGCGGGAGTTCAGCCCCATCAGCCCCATGCAGTGAGCCACGCTCCAGCATCCTCATTATCCACACAGTTCAAAAGGCAGTCCTGAGTGGTCCGTCATGTCCCACTAAAGGTTGTTTCGATTGGTCTTTCAGGGTATTTCCCGGGGTCCTTTATATCTCTCTGCCTCATCGTCAGTAATGAAGAGGCCGAGAGCTGGGAGAGTCAGCAGACTTCCAGCTGCTGGGATTTCTTCATCTTCTCATCAGGATTTTAATTAGACACGTCCGAGAGGGCAGCACTGTGTGAGGGCAGGAGGGAGCTGTATCAAGCAGGCCACTTCTTTAATTACTGTTTACTGACAGATAACAAGGGAGGGGAGGCGGCAGCAGGAATAGTTGCAGGGGGAAGAAGGGAAAGGACATCAGTCCCCAGAGCCTGCGTTCAGCAAAGGCAGCCTTTGCTAAGGACTGAGCGGAAATTGTTCCCCCCCTCCCCATCCTGCCACACTGTTTACCTGTTGCCAGAGTGAGAAAGGCTCCCCTTGCCCCTTTCCTAGGGGGAAGAAGATAAATTGGTCTGAAAGGTGTTAAGTAGTAAGGGCCAGAGACACAAGGAATGAAAACTGCAAGTCTGGTTAGAGAGAAATGAGAGAACTGTCTAAGCTTCCAGGATGCTCAGCTGAGCTGTCCTGTGCTGTCCCTACCTTGGGCAGGCCTGTGGGGTTTCTGACACTGCACAGTAGGAAGCAAAATTATTTCCTTTTCCTTCTGTCTGGAACTGGCAGTCCTCTTCTCTCCTGCTGCCACCATTGCTGTTTTGTCGAAAAGAAACCTTCTTCTCTGTGTCCTCAGCATTGGCAGTGGCAGTATGAGAGCAGTCTGCTCTGCGGCTGCTGCTGTCACAGACTTTCCCCCTGCTCCCCCATGGGCCAGCTCTCCACCTGAATCATATCTTCCCCCATCCCTCCTCTGCCTGGCACCAGAATCCACATCTCCTTCCAGCTTTTGACTCATTCACCTTAAGGTGGTTTTGGACACTGTTTGTAACCCAACTGCTGTGTCCTGCTGGATCACAGCCCTGTTTTTCATTCTGTGGAGCTGCATCCTGATTTGTTTGTGTTATCACAGGGGAATGCTGTTCACAGTCCCTACCAATCCAAGTGGTTGGGTCAGACTGCAATGGTGGATCACTGCTCCCTGGCTCAACCAGATGTTTGGGACATGGGATAATATCTGCAGTGGAGTGCAGCAGATGGTTTCCACATGGGCAGTCCTTTGGCAAACTGAGCTCAGCAGCCTGCTGCTGTCCAGAAACTTTCTCTGATCTTCATGATTTTTCATGATCTTCATGATCATCTCTGATTTTGGCTGTGGTGAAGTGAAGTCTGGTGCTTCCAAAATACTGTTGCTATCCCAGTATGGAAGACAGCCTGTGCCAGAGCTTGTTTTCCCTTGGTGCCAACAGAATCCAACTGCTCTGAGCAGAACAAGATCTGGAGGATGCGCTTTGGATCAGCAAGGACTTGGTAATTGGACTGTTGTTCTTTTCATTTTGCTACGCAGTAGCGAGCAGATTATAGAGCCCACACATTATAGATTTGCTGTCATCCCTCATGAATCAAACTTCGCTGTCTTATTTACTGTTGGCCAAGGCCTGTGAATAACATCACCAAGGGATATGCTCTCAAGCAGTTGTGCAAATACACAGTACACAGTTGCATGCAGTTGCATGTCCCTTTGAGCTGCCAGTATGCCTCCTCCCATCACAACACTTATCGTAGAGAAGTTTCCTATCTGCACAGAATGGCCCCTGGCTTCTCTGAGAGCTCACTCTTTGTAACACTGGAGGCAAATCTGTATTATCCAAATAATATTAAGTCCCATATTTTTAGCTTTATGACATTTCTAGTTACAACTCCAGCTATTCTATACACACTCATACCCACCTACACCAAGGATGTGAACTTCCAGTTTCCTGACAGCTGTTTCATATGAAATCTGGCAGGTCTTCATTGCAGGTCAGTAGAAGAGGTTGGTTTGTGCTCAAGGTACAGTACTGGAAGTCAGGATCATAGGCACAACTCTCAGGTTCGTCAAGGACAGCTAAGAAATGTTGCTGCTCTAGCTAGTAGTACACTGAATGTAATATGATAGCCTTAATTTATCAACAGATATTTTGTCAAGTTTCCCAAAATTTCAATTCAAGACCTTGAAAGAGTGAAAAATGGAATCCAGCTGGAGATTTGTCTCAGTGAAGCGCTGGCACATGTTTATTTTATTTTTGGTAACTGTAGTGAGGCATTAGTGACATGTTACTACTGACTCCATTGGAGTCCCCTAGAAGTGAAGTTTGCTTGTTATCTATCACAAGCCAGCCTGCTAGTTGCAACTTTGTTCCTTGTAGGTTTTCTTACAAAGTCTGTGGCCTTTCAACTGCTGAACTTGGAGGCCCACGAATGAAGTTAGAGAGACTGGAGTGCTAATTTATTTCTGTTAGGCAGGTTAATGTTTCTGTGTGGAAATCTAGGTACTAGACAAGGTCTGGGGGATGTGTCTTCAAATAGTAAGTGTCTTTGTCCTGGAGGAAGTGATTAAGCCATTTGCTATGTCTGTTGTTGATAGAACTGGAAGTAAATGGGCTTTGGTTGCAATGTGGGAGATTTCAGTTTGATGTTACAAACTTCTATTAGTAGTGATATGGGAGCATTAGAACAGACTTTCTGAGATGTGCTGAAAGATTTTGATAATAGGCTAGAAGAAAAATCTGTCAAAAATAATGCTGCTATAGCTGATCCTCTGTTGGGATGTAGTGATGCACCAACCACCTGACCTGGTCCTATCCCTATTTTCTGTGACTCTGTGAAATGTTAAGATGTATATGATCATGCATCTAGCTGATACAAAGTTCAGATGGGTGCAAGTGTATCCATCAGATAAACACTGGCATCTATAAGCTACCAGGAGAGTGTTCAAAGGAGTACAAGAACTGCAGTTTCCTTGAAAGGCCTGACATCCAAATGCTAATGTACCCAACCATAGTAAGTCTTGAAAAGAGAGGGCAGTAGCAGCTCTTTTGTTTAACCAGTTTCCTTAATTTTTGTCTTCATTTTCACTGCCATGTACAATGGTCTAGTAGCACCATCATTTTTTTACTAGTGCTTCCTGTGAAGTTTAGTTCCAGTTGTTCATACCACTGCCAAGCTTTAATCATTGCTGTAAATATTTTGTATGCCTTTGATAGACATGTTTTGTGGAAATCTTTATCAAAACCAACTTTTTTTTTTTTTTTTTTTAAAGTAGAGAGTATGCCATATTCTTGAATTATGCCCACCTTCCATTTAAAAACAAATCAAGAAGATTCCTCTTCGCAAAGCTCTAAATCAGCTTGTGTTCTGGAGCCAGGCTGCAGGGACAGAAGGGGCTGTGCCGTAACAGAGGTAGTGTCAATAAATGGGGCAACAAAACAGTAATGGAAAGACAAGTCAAGGGGAGGTGGGCAAAAAAGTGAAGAGGGGAAGCAAATAGTTATAAATAGCTGCTGGAACAAGGAGGCTGGACTGTGGAGTGTGGGAGAATGGTGTCTGGAGGAGTGAGATGAGAGTAAAGGAAAAGGTCGGGGTTGAGAAAGTAAAGGCAGTGAAGAGAAGAAGTGGGCTGTATTGGTCTGTGAGAGAAGAGAGCAGTATCTGAAGGGGGCCTATAGGCATGCTGGGGATGGACTCTTCATTAGGGACTGTAGTGATAGGACAAGAGGTAATGGGTTAAAACTTAAACAGGGGAAGTTTAGATTGGGTATAAGGAGGAAATTCTTTCCTGTTAGGGTGGTAAGGCACTGGAATAGGTTGCCCAGGGAGGTTGTGAATGCTCCATCCCTGGCAGTGTTCAAGGCCAGGTTGGACGAGGCCTTGGGGGATATGGTTTAGAGTGAGGTGTCGCTGCCCATGGCAGGGGGGTTGGAACTTGATGATCTTAAGGTCCTTTCCAACCTTAACTATTCTGATTCTATGATTCTATGACTTGGATTGAATTGTTGGAAGAGCCTTTGTATTGTTATTCCTCAGCTGTCACTGGTGTCTGAAATTCACCCAGTGTTTCATGCGCCTCGTGTTAATCTTTACAAAAGAGGTTAAGTTACCCTTGCAGCCATTTACTCCACTGCTATGGTTGTAGTGGTCCATGTGATAAATTCATCTCTCCTGATAATCCACCAAAGTGTCCTTGTGATACATCATGAGCGAGTTTGTTCACTCAAAATAAACAACAAACTCTGTGAAAAGGGTACTTTGAAGGGTGCTTATACATGAACTGAAAACTGGGGAAAGGCCAGTTATCCTCTGTGTGCACTTCTGTCTAGCCAACTGTGTGTCTTATACAACTCTCTGTTTTAGCTATGTCATTGTGTGCTGTTTCTTCCACAGGACCCCTGCCTCATTCACTGCATACGATGGACATGCTCTGAGATAAATCAGAGTTGCACAATGAAAAAGACCATCTGTAGGACCCCTGCCTCATTTGTCAGGTGTGTACTGAGTGAGACAAGGGGATTGCAGAAGAGAAAGGGAAGTTTTTATAGCTGAAGCAGTGACATTCTAACCTGCCAGTTGACTTTTTTTCTGTGATCATTTCTGTATGATAGGTTTGAGGGTTCTTAAAGCAGCTGTTATGCTGGTGGTTGTTTAATTGTGTGTTCCTTATTTTATAGGGGACCTTTTAGATCCCAGAGGAACTGCTTTACAGAAACACTGAATGCATGCAGCTGCAAATGAACAGGAATCCACTGAACCCAAAGTTCTATACAACCACAGATCACTCAGGCTGCTGGTGTCTCAGAATGGGCACCCAGAATTGGCAAATGCCTTTTAATACAGACTCAGTCATTCACTCATAAAATTGGAATAAAAATACCCCCTCCCCTCATAGAAGAGTATGAAAATAAATGATCTTGGGCTGGTGAAGCTCTTGGACAATGTAATGATAAGCCCATAGAAAAACACATAAGGAAATTAATAAATCTGTAGAGTCAGGTTTGAATAATATGCGGTAAATAAGGCCTGGGGCCACACACTGAACAATGAACAGAAACCAGTGTCTCAACTAGCTGCTCATTACATGGGAACAATCCCTTCTAAGTGCAGTGTGAGATGGGGTACTGTGAAAAAAATTATGCTCATGTAATTAAGGGCTATAAAATAATGCATATGTACATGAGAGTTAAGAGTATTTCTCACAAGTAAACACAACTGCATTTCTTAATTCTTGACTTCATTTGTAGATTGTCCCATTTAACATACAGTTTTTTTGTTTGTCTTTGTTTCATGGGTCCTGTCATGCTTCGCAAATTTACCTGCTGTAAGATGGTGTTGTCCCAGCCTCTCCATTTGGATTAAGTGTTGCCATTTCATGTAGTTGCAGATCAACTAATTGCAGGTAGTCAAAACCTGCTCATCTTATATATACGTATTCCAGAAGTTGTAATCTCCACTGAGGTGCAGATTGCTGAGTGAGAGAGGTAGAACTGACCCTGAAATTTGCCATCATGAGCAGAATTGGTGCTTGGATGTTGCTGTTCATAACAATGAAGGAACTGGGGATATTTGAGAACTTACAACCTGCTAGCAGTAATTAAAACAATAAAAAACACAGTAATTTTCCCATACAGCAATATGCAAGAGAGCAGAATGTCACTAGGCCTACAAAATGACTTTAAAAGTCTTTGCTGTAAATGGGTGGAGGAAGAATGGCAAAGTTTAAGCTTCTAGCAAAAGTATGCAGAAATGTAGTGGTCCCAAATTTTTGATGAGCATGTTTAGGAATAAATGTATAATGAGTGTAATGGTAATGGAGTAGTGTTAAAACCTATGAAGTTGAAAAGTTGAAAATGGTGCTGGGATAGTGAGGGTGCAAATGCTGGTTAACCTTCCCAAAGCATACCTGGTATTTGCTATAATTCCAGGTCAGAATGTTACGAATAGCTCAAGAAGTGGAGCTGTGACACATACCCCTGACATATTGTTCGTAGGAAGTAAAATTGTCTGTTGCAAATGTCTAAGAAACATACCATAAAATACTTTCCCCTTGTATTTTCCCTTTTTTTCGCCATTCACAATCTCAAATATGAGGAGTGTTAATTGGCCTATTTAGACAATATAGTGTGGTGCTTCCTTCAAAGATGACTGTTGGCCAGTTGATGACTAGGAAAGCACTGGCTCCCACATGTGCTGCAGATAATGGTTCATTCTGGAAATTAAATAATGCAAACCTATCGAACACATTTTAGCCTGTGTAAGAGACTAAGTGTCCTTTGTTCAGTGGTTTAATTGCTCAATTTAACACTTCCTTCAGACAAATGTATTACATGGTTTAAAGAGAACAGAAGTAAAAGTGATGCCAGGGTACCCAAGAGCAGGAACTCTGACAAAAATCCCCTTGGACAAGGCCTGGCACTGCTGTCCAAAGGAGAGAGGAAGCAGCAATTAAAAAAAAATACAACAATCTGTTCTTGTTCAGACAGCAAGATGCAGCACGTGTGCTGGGTGGCAGCCATCAATGAGAGCTGGTTTCCCCATGGGATATGCAGACCTGGACTATCAAAGTAAGCTGGGGCTGGGACAAACAGATGTTATGCCAGACACGTCAGCAGAGCTAGTCTGTTTTGCATAGGCGCCTGATCTTACTTGGCATGCTTTAAACTCATTCTTTTCTGAATCTCAGGGTTCAATATAAGCATTATGATTTAATCCTAACTGCTCTGTTCTCCACATGTGTTGCAACTCTGGGATATTACTTCTAACCTATACAAACAGGAAGCTGAGGCACAAGGTGGCATGTTGCCAGGTGCACAGCTCCTGAGTGTGCAACCTCAGTTGCACGCCTCTGCTTCCCTTTGATGACAGAGGCTGTGGGAGCACTGCAGTACCGAAGTGAATAGTCTTTCCCTACAGGTGTCTTATTGACAGGTAGTGTTAGTGCCCCAAAACTGATATTTTGAAAACACCATCCTGAGGCATCTCTGCACAACAGGTACTCTGCTCTCTGGAAAACTGTGTTAGGACAGAGTGGGGAAAATTAACATGAACATATGGGGTAGTGGCCCCCACACTGCTGTGGCAGTTCAGCAGAGTAAGTCAGGCCTTGGCATGGCAAAAGCTGCATGTGATCCTAATTGTGCTCAGGGGCAGACAAATCAGAGTCTTGCTCTTTACATACAGGCCTGGCGAATGGAAAAATGTTTATTTGCTGCTCTGGATACACAATGTAGGAGAAAAGAATAAAAGTGATTTAATCACCAGTGTGAGAAGTATCACCTGACTGAGCATGTTGCAGAGGACAGATGGGTCAGAGGGCCTTACCTTGCCCAGCCAGGAGGGATAGGGAAACATTGGTGAGGCACGGGATCAGATTGGTTAATTATTATTCATTATTAATTTTCTAATTTCCCCCTTACTCAGATTCCATGATTGCTCCTCTACCTGTCTGGGTGCATCTGTGACATTGACTCCGTCTTTGAGATGGGGAGCACCCTCTAGTGGTTAAGGATAATCTGACATTTCCTGGGATTGGCACCCATCATGATTGCAAGCTGCCAGTTAAACAGGGGCGGGAGTTGGTGCTGGCTCTGTCACTGCTGGAATGGGTGTTTGAAGTGTAAACGCTGGCTCTGACTTTCTAACCCAGGAATTCCAGTTGACCTCATGGGAAACCTTTTTGCCCTGTGAAAAGCATGCAGGGTGTGTGTTCTCCCTGCTCTGCTGTTGGGCAAAAGCTCTCATTAAGCCCCTTCTTGCTTTCTTCTGGTGAGAAGGCTAGTAAACTTCAATTTGCTCCATTAGTTCTCAGCGGCCACAACATCTGACCCTGGCTCTCTTCTTGGGGATGCTGTTCCCTGCCTCTGCTCCTACTCTTTTCTCCCCAAAGCACTAGTCTTGCACCCAGAGCTCTCATAAGTTCAGCTATGGCTGACTTTGCTCTGCCTAGCTGCTAAAGCCAGCACAGTACAGTCCCTTGCAGGGGGCACAGGAATTCAGCTCAGGTTTTCCTTCTCCTTCCCTGAGCGGATTAACAGGCTGAGGGGATCGTCTCTGCCTGCCTGACTCAATCTTCATTAGCTAACATGTTTCGCCAGCTGCAGTCGCATCCTGGTCCGCAGAGCTGTTTGACATGAGTGGATTCTGGCCCCAGCCTCCCACAAAGGCTGCTGCATCTTCCAAGAGGGTTTTCTTGTTAGCAAGGCTCTGTGGGCTGCTGCGGGTGGTAGGGATGTAGGGCAGGAGTGCTGCAAGATGTGCATCCTTGCTCTGTGCAGTGTTCACTTTACGGTAACTAATGTGCATCCTCTGCTGGCTAAGAGACCTGCAACCCTAAGTAATGTGCATGCTGTATGAGTGTCAGAAAATGTCAGAAAACCCACAGGTGGGTTTTTTTCCCCCTTATGGTTACCAGTCAAGGGAGGATCCCGAGTATATCGGAATGTCCCTGAAACTTCAGTTATTTGGCTGTCACTTCTGGGTGCCTTTTCCTGGCTGCTTGTTGCTAGTCAATTTGAATACAGTATTTCCTAACAAGCTGTGTGCAAGCAACTGACCCTATTTCCTCATCCCCTTCTCCCTGATGCTCTGTGGTAGTCATTAATGGCTGTTGCACCCTTGCACAGGCAGTCATTTATTTTACAAGTGCTGCTCTTTCCTCAGTCCAGAGAAGACCTTTTCTGTGTAAGGAAGGTGTGTACTTCAAGTATCATAAATTTTAAAACAGTCTATTTAAACTAGTGAAAATAGATGCTCTCCTGCTAGTTTGAGGATGCTTCATTTTTGCTCATTAGATGCCTAAACAGGTTTAGTTTCAATACTAATTAGTGCCTTTTGCACCAGCTTCAGTTAATCTATTTCAAATTGTACCTTGAAATATACTGCAGCAACATTCTCATGCAAAGAAAGCCTTGAGGAGAGAAGGTGAACACTGGGCATCACTAATACCAAATGCCATTGGGGAACACCTATGATTGCAGCAGTACGAGGGCATTTGGTATCTGTGCAGAGGCCTGAACTTGCCTTTGTGGGAAAAAGAAGCCTCCTGCTGGCTGTCAAATGCATGTAAATAGGTGCAGGTAAAGCACTTGTATTTCTGCAAAACTGACACTGTGAAAGCACAGAACATGCTACAGAAATTATTGTGACTGAAAAATCTCAATGGGAAGTGATTCACAAGGAAGCAAACGTTCTCTTTATGTTTTTGTAACTTGACCATTGCAGTGGGGGAAGCTGGTGTGGCAGCCTCTGAAAGCAAGGTCGCCTGGCCAGGAGCAGAATCAGAATGTCCTTTTTTTTTTTTCCTTTTGGCAAGTTGGAAGGGAAATAAAAAAGGCAAATGAGCATGAAGGGGTAAAGGACACTGCAGACTTCAGAGGATTTTAGAACCTAAAGCATGGTATTTAACAAATTAACGGATGAATTGAATTTCCCAAACAATGTGTGTTAAAGCACACAATGAATAACCCAGCACTTATGAATTAGCAGTGTATTTGGTTTGGCCCTACAAGGTCCTACACCTGGGTTGGAGCAATCCCAGGCACACCTACAGGCTGGGCAGAGGAGAGATTCAGAGAAGCCCTGGGTAGAAGGCCCTGGGGGTGTTCGTCGATGAGAAGCTTAACATGAGTCAGCTTCAGTGTGCGCTCGCAGCCCAGAAAGCCAACCGTATCCTGGGCTGCATCAAAAGGAGTGTGACCAGCAGGTCGAAGGAGGTGATCCTGCCCCTCTACTCTGCTCTCATGAGGCCTCACTTGGAGTATTGTGTGCAGTTCTGGTGTCCTCAACATAAACACGACATGGAACTGTTGGAACAAGTCCAGAGGAGGGTCACGAGGATGATCAGGGGACTGGAGCATCTCCCATACGAAGACAGGCTGAGAAAGTTGGGGCTGTTCAGCCTGGAGAAGAGAAGGCTGCTTGTAGACCTCATAGCAGCCTTCCACTATCTGAAGGGGGCCTATAGGGATGCTGGGGAGGGACTCTTCATTAGGGACTGTAGTGACAGGACAAGGGGTAATGGGTTAGAACTTAAACAGGGGAAGTTTAGATTGGATATAAGGAAGAAGCTTGTTACTGTAAGGGTGTTGAGGCACTGGAATGGGTTGCCCAGGGAGGTTGTGAATGCTCCATCCCTGGCAGTGTTCAAGGCCAGATTGGACAGAGCCTTGGGTGACATGGTTTAGTGTGAGCTGTCCCTGCCGATGGCAGAGGGGTTGGAACTAGATGATTCTGTGATTTTCAAGCCACAAGTCAATGGGTCAAAGCAGAACAGCTCCCCAGAGAGCCATGGGTTTTCTGTGTTCTAGTTCCCTGGGGGATGCAACCCTCTCTGGAGCAGTCACCTGCCAGGGCTAAGTAGTTACCAGTGTTTAATAATTCTTCACATAGTGGGAAACAAAGGTTAAACGAACCCTAAAAAATGTAACCTGTCTCTGAATGGGCAGTAAAGGAAGGTTCCTTTGAGAGACCAAATAAGACCTTTGTTTGGAGGACCATAGACTGGGAGAACAAACCTGTTTTAATTTATTTACAAGTAGCAGAAATCCCTTTGTTATGTGTGGGGAGGAGCAGGCTAAGGAGGCGGCAGTCTAAGTTAAGGCTCGCTGAAACACTTGTGGCTAGACTTTGTGCCTTTTTGATATTAAGGCTATTGTGGATCACTAATCTTAACAAAGATGATACTTTTTGTTCTTCAGCCTTGTCTTTTTCAAAATTTTCCCAAAGCACTTTATTCATTAATGAGTTATTTTGGTGCCACAACTGGTTTTGCAGTAGCTTTAATGGCACAAAACATTTGAGACCAGAAATAAGGAAGAGCTGCTGGGGAGTAATGCAAGATATACAGACAGAGAGAACAGGAATGAACTGGGAATGTTGAATGAGATGTGTTTAAAGCAGTAGTTTGCTGTTTGCTCCTGCCCTTTTCATCTCAATTGCTGGCATCTCATCAGTAATGAATTGCAGGGAGACACAAATTGACACAGTGCAACCTGTACCACTCACATTATGTGTTCAGTCTCCATCCGTGACCCTTTTGTAATGCTACTCTTCTGCAGCATCTTCCAGTAACAAATTCTAGTGGTGGTTGGTAGTTTTCAAGTTCCCCTGTGTGGCCCTCTGACCAGAGCCAGAACAAAAGGGTAGATGGCAGATCTGCCTGTCTCTACGACTCTTTTTTAGCTAGTGGTGAAGGGTCAACTCTGAATACTAAACGGAACACTGTGATTTTAGGGAATAACTCCTCTTTATCCTCCAGTTTGGGGAAACAATAAGAAATTGCATCAGCAAAGACAGTACTATATCTTGAAAAGAAATTCTTCATATAGTATCAAGAATTCTGTATTTCCATGCTGACTTTTAAAATTCACATACTTCCTCCTGTTTAATCTGCTAGTCCTTCCCTCCCCCTTAAATTTAGGATGTTTGGATGAGGTTTGGATACAGACTAGACTGGTGTGCTTTCTGTGCAGTTAGGATCTGCATGTAACTTCAGGGTTGCTTTATCAGCTGTAGACTGGATTGAGAATGTCTATTGGGAGTTTCAGGTCTTGGTTTTCTCATTGGA